ACACACCCATAAGATAGACAACAAGAGTGAATACCCTAGAGTACTACGGGCGTGTGGGGTGCTAATACCTTCCCCTCGCGTAACGGACTCCCTTACCCGATCTCTCGGTCGCAAGACCGTGACTTCTCCCTTCTCAGGTTTTCTCGATGTTTACCTTTCTCTCCATATGGGATAAAAGACGTTCGATGGCGACTTCATTGTTTGATGATTTTCAGCCGGTTGTTTCAATTGTTATCTTTGTTTTACTAAAATTAATGACAATCCTAAAAATAGAGAACTAACATTCTCCTCTAGAGCACCTGAGATATTGGCTATCTCAATAATATTAATGTGAAAGTTATGAATGCTCTCATCCTCCTTAATTATTTAGTTTTCAAACTGAGTGGTAAGAAGTTGAAGTCTTGACATCTTCACTTTGGAGGTTCCTTCATGAGAAGTCTTCAAGAACTTCCATGCTTCTTTGGCAACAGTGCAATTACTTATTAGCCTGAAGATATTCTTGTTCACTCTGTTGAATAGGGAATTCAATGCTTTGGAGTATCCCTCTGATGATTTTTCATCTTTATCATTCCAGTCTTCACAATATTAGTAGCTTTTCCATCTGGAACTACAACCATTAGAGGATCTCATCCTTTAACCACATCCTTTCAAGCCTTATTGTCCATAGATTTGATAAAGTCCACCATACTAACTTTCCAATAGTCATAATTGGTTCCATCAAGGATTGGTGGTTTGTTCATAAATCCTCCTTCCTTGTCCATTGTACTAGAAAGTACCTTCTCTGAATCACACCCAGAGTCAGAGCACGATGCCTACTCTGATATATCAATTGAAATTTTGGTATTCAGATCTAAGATGTCCTAAAAAAATATTGAGACATCTTTCTCTGAACAAAAACTCCATGACAAGGTATATGATAAACAAAGTACGAAAAGGCAAAGAACACACGGGATTGTTAATTCAGTTCAGTGTACAATAACACCTACTTTGGGGGCTACCAAGCCAGGGACGAAATCAACTAGATATTATCAATTTGAAGCTAAACTCCCCCATTTACAACTTCTCACTTAATCACTACCCTTGCTTAACTTCTACCTAAGACTCACCTAGGTATGAGACCCTTCTCGGATCCCTTCCAATCACAGACCAGTGATTGAAAAATTCTAAACACTTATGAAAACACAAAAGTCGCACTTCAATGACACACAATCATTCACTGCTTAAAAGATTTGGAATGACTGACAGAACTTACAACTCAAAAAACAAAGTCCTACTCTTTCATCAAGATGATAATCAAGAGGCTCTCAATAAGCACACAAACCCTAAGAAAGATATACAGTAAGTTTGACTCTTGTACTAGGGTTGAAGCCTTCTATTTATAATCTTCAATAAATTGGATTTGGGTTTCACATATGCAGCTGGACATAACAGAGGTGCTGCAGAATTATATCCTCAAAGATATGACATCATCATTAGTTTCCTAAATTATCTCCATAATTAGAAACTAACAATTCTCCTCAAAATTAGATTGAATCTCTTTAATCTTCAACATGTGCGCCACATAGGATAGCATAGTATTTATAGATTATTCTCCACCTGTAACAAACTAAAAAATCCAACAGTTCAGTTGTACAAAATCACAATGTCAAAAGAAACTGTATAGGACATTGCATTTGACACGTTGCTCTAGTTGATAGAACATTTTTATTCAACATATCTAAGCTAAGTTAGTTTTGCCAAACATAATGTCAATCACAACAAAGCGGAGAATTAACAATGCTTGTAAAAATTGTTCACTTTCTTTGTTGCAAAATTGAATGATCTTTATGATGAATGATATTGATATTGATTATGAATGATATTTATCTTGATGATGAAAGATATTGATCTTTGAATTGTGATGAAAACTTGAACTTGCATTGGTTGTAATGGATAAACTTTAGACATTTTGCAATCTGGTATTGAAATGATAAATGAGTATGAATGATGTTTGAAAAGTTAAAACTTGAATGACGAACGTTTCTTGAAAGCCTTGAATAAAACTTGTTTAACTTTGATGCATTTGTACTTTCGAAATATTGATCCCAACGGCTTACAATCCATATTCTTTTAGCCATTATGAACAAAATATTACTTTGGTCAAAAAGTCAACTAGGTTAACTTTGACCAAAGTCAAAGGGGAAATTGATCCAAGTGGTATCTTGCCTTAATCCATGTATGCATCTCAAGCCTTTGTGGTAAATTGAATCCCATCAGTGAAACCTAATTTTTGCCAATTCCTTGTGTCAATGGTTCACTATGAAATCCAAGTGAATTCGTATCTATTTTCTTCATGAAGTAGATACTCAATACTTTGTAGTTGAAGCAACTAGAAGTTGAAGAACCATGCTCAAACCGTATATTGATGGATAATGAATTAGATGACCTTGATATTTTGATCAATGCACCAACCCCTCTTGAATAATTCACTAAATCCTAATCAATCATAAGAAGCTACAACATGATTCACAAACCCTAATCTTGAGGAAGACTGATGCAAGAGAGCTTTTCACGCTGAGGAGAAACCCTAATTCACTCCTTACTCAAACACAAATATTTTGAGAAATTCAGAGAAATAAACTTTGATTCAAGACCTTGGTGAATTTTGGAGAAGAATAACCTTGTTAGCTTGATGAGAAGAAGTCTCTGATAACCATGAATTACAACCCTAATTCCACACTTCACTGCTTGAAGAAGAAATAGAAGAATCGAGATTTATTTGATATAGAAATCTCAAACCATTATGAAACCCTTGCTTGAGATGAGCTTGAGAAGTCTTGGAATCAATGATGAACTTGAGATTTGAGATTATAACCATGATGATGATAATCCAACCTTGCATTGTCTTTGAGTGCCATATCCTTCCCTGTGAATGGGAAAACCCCAAATCGCAAGAAACATTGATCGTATAACCATAGAACCAATTATATGCATGAATGTGTATGAGAATGAAACACAAGCCCATAAAGGTTAGAAACAAGAGGGAAAATTTTGGGGTGCAACAGCTGAGATGCATTAGGTACCGCCAGTGTGACATGGGACCGTGATGTCTCTCTTGCCTCAGATACATGCATAGATGAACTAGTGTGTCTACGTAAAGATGGAGGCGAGGAGGAATGAGCAGGAGAACTTCGTCTGTTGCGGGAGGACGACGAAGAAGGAAGAGAAACATCAACCCCAGAACCTGACATCGTCTTCGCCACAACCTGCTCAGAGGTAGAAGGATCCTGGGATGCTTGACTCTTTTCCCTTTGAACCGAAGCATGTTGTGCAACTCTTACATGTCTCAACCTAAATTTTTTGTCGGCCATAACTCATGTAGAAGGACAAAACAAATGTTACACAATGACTCGTGTTCAAATAAAGGGAAATAATACAGACAAACTTATTATGGAGATGCATCTCCAATTTTTATTTACACGTTGAAAAAATCCAGAGATGCATCTCCGGAAACTCCTACAACTTCATTCTTCGTCAATGGCGGATTACAGAGTCTTAGGAACTCAAAAAAAAATGTTCATTGATTGTAATAACAGCCAAACTAAAATTTTCAACCATACTTCTAAGTTGGCGAACACTTAAAATCTTTCAATCTAATCTAAAACTCAATTTCTAAACTATTTTACATTAATTCAAAAAAGTTCAAAACAAACATACAATTTCTCTTCAAAGTTTGATTATTTATAATTGATGAAGCTTGAACACTGATGTTTGATGATTCTTGATTGTTGTTTGATGATTTTTTATGAGATTTCGCACAATGGCGTTGGGTGGTGTTTTAAGAAAATGGATTTTGAAAATGAATATCTGAGAGTGAGGAAGGGGAAGAGACCATGGCGCATATTTGTAACAATTTATTCCGGAGATATAAGTGTGGCTTCTTCTCGTAAAGGTATCTCCAGAATAATTTTTGTGTGACATTTGATCTTAAGATAACACATGCACTGAAGTTGAGGTACTTCCGAAAATGCAACTACAGAAATTTCTCGTAAATGCATCTCTAGTTAATTTCTTTCACTAATTTAGAGTCTTGTTCATCAATGTAAATACTTAAAATACTTCCGGAGATACATTTCCGTAATCTGAGAATATTTTAATATTTTCGCACGGTGCACTAGAAAAATATAGGGTGCATTAAGAAACTCCCAAAACTTTTATATGAAAAGTTAAACTTGGTATTTCTCAGTCGTCCAAAACAAATAGAACCTGAAAATGAACCCAATTATGCATATTATTGGTCTTGGTAAAGAAAATTGATTTTGAGTGAATAGATTTTTTAAAATTGACTTTGCCTAAAAGCAAGTCCAAAGTAAATTCAAAAGCTATCATTCCTAACTTTAGGTAGAATCAATTTTGAAAAACATAATCAATTCTACCCAATAGCAACTACCCAAATCAAAATCAATTTTCATATCCAAAATCAATTACAAAAACTGAATCAAACATTCTCATAGTGTTTATACACAATGTTTTCAAAATTAGTATGAAATTGTAAATGACTACCAAATAGCTTTTGCAAAAGAAAAGAGACTTACGAATAGAACATTTAGTGTCTGTTTGTTTGATTCTGCAGTGACAAGAATTGATTATGAATGAACTGAGTTGAACAATAACTTAAAAATCACGTATAAAGTTATACTTCCCAAAAAATACTATAACCAATTAGATAATAAAAAATTGAACATCTAGTATATCATGGAGATAATAAGAAATCTGGAAGCAATGTCATCAAATCCATGACTGCAGCAGATCTTTTGAACTATTCCCTATATACATTCTACAAAAAGATCAACTTGAATTACCTACGAATTGGATCAAAATTCTGATCCTAACCACCAAAGTTTCTCCATTCCAAGAAACTCAGGTTATATCATGATCTTGATGCCCCCTGGTTCACCGAATACATGTAATTCCTTCAGATATAAGGTGTTTCATTGGTACAGTTAACAAGTTACAATCCTTCACATAAGCATATTCAAATCTGATAGGTCATCCATTGGAATTTCAAGACCCATAATACAATCATGTTCTTGCAAACCATCATCATCAAAGTTCAACCAAGAGCCAAGATCTTCTGGTCCATCAAGTTCACCAGATACACCAAATTCGTCTATTGAACCTAAATCGTGTAACGGTAAAGTGCCCAAGTCAGAGGATTCCTTTGCTTGAGAAGTAATCTGGTTACCAGATAATGCTGCCACATCTTCGTTACCATTGGTGCTTGCATTAGCCACCACAGATAGACTAGAATCACAAATCGGTAAATGTCCACCAAAAGTACTATTTGTCTTGGGCTTAACTTTTGGTTTGTTTTCATTTTGGACACTGTCCAATGACATGTAACCAGCCCGGGAATTAGAATTTTTTCTGGTCTGGTCCCGGATCTGATTTCTATCCCTCTCACTTCTCTTTCCCTTCACTCCACCATGAACAGCACCAGCAAGATTTGATGTTCTTGAAGAGCCATTGACCAGCATTGCTCTTTTCTTCTCCTTGATCGTCACTGACCCATTCATGGATGACACTTGTTCTAATGAGTGGATCCAACAATGAAAAGACACACAACAAAAGTTAAAAAGCAAAAGAATATAAATAAATAAATAATCAACTAACACACATAAATATCTTAAGCATTGACGAAGATAAATACCTAATTTTCTGGCTTTAATTTGATACAAAGCTTTGTTACATGTATTACTGGCTGTGCCAGAGACAATGCAATCTGCAGGTTGTGCACTATTCTCAGATGAACGAGGGGAAAACAAAATATTTTGCAGAGAAGGTTCACTAAAGCAGCCAACGCCAGTTTCTTCATAACTTCTGCATCTTCCAAGAGTGCGTTTCAGAAAAGCTAGAGCAACTTGTTTTGGAACCTTCTGAACAGCACTTTTTGAATTTCTACTTCCACGGCATGCCTGCCAAAATTTGTAGAAAATACATGGTTACAACTTATGAACTCCCTATTTTATTTTTCAAAAGCAACAACAACCAAAGTCTCTTCCCAGTAGGTGAGGTATGTAATCCTTAATATGAGAAAGAACTTTGGTACAACGTTTAGTGTTGTGTGACTAAAAGGTAATGAATTTGTATTGTAAAATGAACCTCTTGAAAATGCAAGCAAGGTAAAGCTGTCTAGAATAGACCTACAATGGATCTGATCCTTCCTTAGAGACCTTGCTATGGCAAGAGGAGTTTTATAGTACCATGTTGCCCTTTCTAAAAAAAGTGGGTAAAGGAAAGCTTATTATTACCAATCTCTTTCTGTAAGCCATTTCAGTAAGTTGGTCAAATGCAGCTTGCTCAATGCTCCTGCATAGTAAGCACATTAATCTTAATAAGAATCAATAATATCTTCAGCGCAAACTCGAGAGATGGCAAGTCATGTGAATCATGAATGCAAGACAGAAAATGAAGAAATTAGGTGTTAGGAAGCTGGAAATTAGATTGAATAGAAAGAACACTTTCATTAAGAAAATGGGAGAGAGAGAGAGAGAGAGAGAGAGAGAGAGAGAGAGAGAACTCTCCTCCAAGTGTTTCCCCTTTTACAACAGAGTCATTGCTCTATTCACAAAATATTAACAAATCTGAATGATTATCTCTATCCTTTATTTTCCTATTAATACATTAATACATATAACTAATTGATTAAGTAACTCCTCCGTATCTCATATCCTAACAAACTAACTCCCTCTTATCATATAATGTTAATAACACCTCCTATACTTTATCCTCACAAATTCCTTATCCAATATCGGGAACATTAATACATATCTATAACATAAAATAAATAAAAGATCACTAAGAGGGATCACCTACAAAACATGGAAAGAGTGATTAGGACATACCGTTTTTCCATGTCTTTCCCTTTTAGAATAGCTTTACCAATTGGGTCCAAGTTGCTCTTCTTCCTTCCATTCTAATAGCCACTCAAAATAAGGGGTAACGATATAAGAATGGACCAGATTGGACACAAACTAGATAAATTTGGTTAATTTATCAAGGACAATTCTTGTAGTGCAAACCTGTTCATATAGAGCTTTCTCAAGTTTCACAATGTCTTGAATTATAGCTTCATCTTCATCAGCTAAATCAGGCTGCACCAAGCAAAGCAAGTATAAGAAGTATAGTTATAAATCCAGTAAACTTTAAGTTACTATGACATTTGTAGTTCCATATACAAAATTAAAACTTTACCAATATCTCTGGATATATTCCAATGCTCTGCAGCTCAAGCAGCAGCCTGTCATCCAGAGACATCAGCTGATACTCACAATCAGGAGAAGGAAAGCTAGGATTACTTAATTCAGGCTGAAGCTGATCCAGATCATTTGAACATATTTCACCGGTGTGAGTAATATCAGAAAGGGAAAATTCTTCATCTCCCTGCCAAACTCCCGTGCTTTGTAATGAACTGGGTGTGTTCGGGTATCTAAATGTGTTGGATGTGGTACTCTTATTACAAGATAGTCTGTCCACTATGCAATTCTTCTGAATTTGAAAATCCACCTGCGATTCAACTTCAGATTCCGTTCTATCCCTGTTTTTGGGTTCAAAATCAACTTGATTACAAGAACCGCAGTGAGAATCATCGCTCGCACACTGTCTAGATATATTCTTTGCTTCGCTTTGGGGGTACAATTCTTCATTTTCGTCTTCTTCAATTAGAGCACAAAGAAGTCTTTGGAATAATGGGGTAACCTTGTCCATTCTTTCCATGTCATTTCTCCCACCTACAACCTCAAACTTGGTTGATTCTTCATCACAGTGGCTTCTCCTTTTATCCTCTGAACCTTGAGTAGTTTTCTTATTAATAACAACACCCTGAGAAAATAAAAATTCGCTAATTACTGATATTTCTCGTATTTAATCTGTACCATTTCTCATTTATGTTTCAGACAAAGGAATTTGGTGGCAATTGTGAAGATCTAAATATTAAAACATGGAGAACTAATCAGAAGTTTTTCTTTGTTGATAAGGACGATGAAAGACATAGGCTAAGTTATGTATAATGCTAAAAACTTACCAGCATATCATGATCAATGGCAAACATATGGGATAAACTTTTTTCCAAATCTTCAGCAATATTGAGCTGATACAGCAACCAAAAACCAGTACATCAGAAAATATTCATTGAGAATCAAGTATTTCTAGAAAAGCATGTTGTGTCCAAGACCCAGTTGCTACCTGTTGTTTCACAAAAGATGCGTCATCCAAGCTGACGGAAGCAAAAATATACTCCATTTTACTCCAAAATGGACCTGAAGCAAGACCTATATGAAAGGGAAAAAAAGGCAGTAAACTAGTCAGACATAAAACTGAAAAGAAAAAAGAGAAACATAATGGAGATATATAAGAAATCTCGAAAGAGGTAGAATGGTTCAAGGTACACACTGCTGGCATTAGAAGCAGCATTAGCAGCTTTATACAACTCTTCGCAATCATCATCAGATTCACCTAGACAGACATAATTCAATATGCAGTTTGTGAAAACATGGCTAAAAGAAAATATAGAATATAATATCAACAGATCATATATTAATATGAAAACAAAAATTGTATCAGAAATGAAGAAAAATCAATTTACTGAAAGAACATGAGTTATATATATTACATAGAATTATAAAAATCTAACTATTGAAAAATATCTGATATGCTAGCCACTAAATGCCTGGATGACTCGGTGTTACTGTTATGACATGTTAACTTACGAAAATATTCCAGTGGGAAAATACATAATACACTAATACCACTGTCATTGGGTCACTGGATGCTAAATTCCTCAACAACTGAACATATGTGATGTGGAGGAATTTAGCAGCCTATGCCATAAAAGTAAGTTCCAAAAGGAAGGGGGCAAGGTTTTGAAAACTTGTCACTACCTCCAAAATCAGAAGAACCAATGTTCAGTTGCTTCCCTACACGAGTCAAAACTTTGCGTTCTTTCTGCTTTTTTGAAGGAGGGCGCCCATTTTTGCTGCATTAACAGCCAGGTATGAATATAATGACACTTATGGAAAACAGAAGGAGAAAGGAGAAATTATATCTACAAATAAAATCAACATACGTTTTATTCTTATCAATGGCCTTCTTGTCCTGTACTGGCTTCAGTATAGGTACATTCTCAGGCTTCTCCCTCCCCAATGGAAGGCCTTCTCTTATTGCCGATAAATTCCTTCCAATTCTCCCTAGTCTCTGCACACCATCTCCTGATTCATCTATTGGTATTTTATTCTTTCTTGTTTGCAACATAGGAGCTCCCTCCCTATTTGCAGCCATAGCAAAGTCGCTACCATTGACTCCTTTCTCTTTTATTTTGTTTTCCCCTCCACCAGATTCTTCACTTTCAGATAAACCAAAGGGAGACGAAATATCATCAGGTGGCCTTTTATATTTTGGTGTACTGTTGTCTACACTGCTAGCCAGTTTGAACCCATTGTTGCCAACAGAAGAAGCTTTAACATTGAAATCAGAAGTTAGACAGCCTTCAGATGAGACCTGAACTTCAAGGTTGCGCGAGGCAGGAGAAACTACTTTCACTCTTCGAGAGCGTGAATTTTTAGGTGGTCTCTGTCCACCCCACTGGGTCATTGGATGTATAGAAGAACCTATAGTTATTGCAAGCTTTTAATTAGTTTCCATTCTAATCACCTAGACTTAGAATTTGAAAGCTGATACCAACCTGGAAAACTTCCAGCTGGAGACTGAATATTAGACAACTCTAGCGCACTAACTGAACCCGTTCTTGGTGCTCGAGATACCTTGTTTTTAATTGCTGAGTTAGGGCTGCTTGCTGGGTCCTCTTGAATATTTGCTCTAATTATAGAATGATTGACAATTAATAAACTTAATAACTATCAATGAATATCAATGTAAATATGAACAGACTAAAAGCTTATTGGATCAATCTCATTATAGGAACCTTAAAATTGACTTGTTAAGACTAGGTTGGAGAAATAAATGAAAACCATGGGATAACAAGATATGTTAAAACCTGTTGTTTCCTTTTCCTACAACTCTTTGGTCAGCTATGTGGTCCCTGTGAGGAGAAACCCCTAGCTCGCCTGTAAGCATCACACGTACACCTGTATTATTATGCTCTGAAGAACCCTCAGACTTGTTGATTCCACTAGATTCAGGAAGTGACTTCAATCTGCATCGCAAAAAGAATATTAGTTAAAAAGATTTAGGTTTATTTTTCTGTTCTTCAAAAATAAAAAATCATGTCAGACTATGGACAATGATGTGACTACTTAATATTTGACAAGCTGACTAAGTGAAGTAAGCAAACACAACATTCATAGAGGAGAATAAACAACAGGGGGGAACAAAGTATGAGAAAAAGAAACAGGCAATATAATACAGAGGAACTTTTGTGGGTTTATCTAATCCTGATTACAACAGGTTAGTTAATTGCATAATATAAGCAAACAACATACATGTAATTCAAGTCTAAAACAACAATATTTTCCAGCTGGGCCCACCCTCTAGCAGTAAAGCAAATTCAGCATCATTAATCTTGATTTATTACTTGTTATACACATGGGGGGCATACAATGATTCATATGATATTATTTATGACTATCAAGCTCTCAATTGGAAGCCTTCATGCAATCCATTTATATGATTATTTCACTCCAGTCCAGACACACCGTTCATCTACAACTAAACTTGAAAAAACATCTTGCAATCTAAAAGAAAGACCCATAAAATTACCTGAAACCCTGAGCATCACTAAATCGCAACTTCAAATCAGTATTTCCCTTTGGAAGAGTGGCTCGTTTTACATCCCTTTCACCGGTTATAACTCTGTTACCTACTGTTCCGACAGACCTCTTCCTCTTTATTTTTTGATCTAATCCCTCGCCTCCGGCAAGTAATCTGCGAGTTTTCTCTTCATTTCGAATAGAGCCCCCGCCAAGTGTCTGAATCAGATTTCCATTCTCGGTGATCATCTGCTGTCTTCCAATAGAAGCAGGCCTATTGTCCTCCTGGGAGCACGGAGGATGAACAAGGTCATGAAGAAAGAATGAAAATGAACATGAGGAGGTTATTATGAATAAGAAATAAGTGTAAAACTTTATGTTTAAAGACTTTAGAGGAAAACATAGTATAAAAGTATGTCCGGTCTTAAATCTGACATTAGTATTTGAAATGCCTTACATGGAAACACAGATGATAAATTGCACAAATTATTTCATACTGAAATGTTTAAACTGGGCTTAAAACAACTTGAAATCTTTCTTTTGATAAGAAAAAGATGGCCTCACATGTGTTGAATCATTATGAATATAATGCAATCCTGTTGGGCTCTTAAAAAAAATTAAAACTCCATATTGTTAAAAGGGCTTTAACGACATTCTGGACAAAACTCTGTAATAAAGCAACTAAAAATATAGCATCTTGGATAACGTAGGCTAAGAATAAAACCGTAGCAACAAACAGCATAAGAGATACCCGTGTGTCTGCCACTAACGTACGAGTGCGCTTGTTCAGCATTGTATTTGAGGTCTTGACTTCTCTCTGAGTCATATTATCATCCGAGATTTTGTGAATCTGGCTACCCATCTTTGTTAAGTTAACTCCACTTCCCCTTTCACTTGATAAATCACTCCTTTCCCGTTTCTTTGAGTTTAAGGACTCCCTATACCTATCCAATTTAGATATAGATTCCCGAAACATTTTTGATCTATCCCTGATCAACATATTACACACTTCTATTAGAACATTAAAATGAATATACTGTTATCATAAAATAGCAAGTTAATTATACAAAAAATGGATCAAATCATTTTACAGTAGACAGACATAATCACGAGTATTTGAACACTTTTAAAAACTAGTTTATTTCGACCAAACTGCCACTTAGGCTTGCATCTATTGTAATCAACATTGTACACACTTGATCCTCATATAAAAAAAATTATATACCTAGCCTTTCTGGAGCCATCTTGAACACTTTCTTTTAACTTCTTGAACTCCCCGAAGGCTCCTGGGCCAATTAATTTGGCGTGCGAAACTCCAAAATCTTCGGAACTGTTTCCAGCAGAAACATCCAGAACCCTCTTTAGCTCTCCCGTATATTTCTTATTTCCTATAGTGATTGAATCTAGCGGCAAACATTGGGGTAACGGCGGCATATCCGATGAAGTTATCACACTCGTGCTGCTGCTGTTTAAGTTACTCCCAGAACTCAACATTAAGTCGTTGACCAAATTCCTGCCAGCAATTTGATAAACTAATCATATATTGAATATACCAAATGCACCATCAGAAAATAGAGTAGAAGCTACACAAATAAAGCAATTCATAGTACATATAAATATGTGAAGAATTAATGCAGAACAGAGTCGTGGAAGTAATGGCATTCTCCAACATTAACGTGTAATGTAATGCAATGCAACGACCTAGATAGTTAGCGAAGAAGGTGAATTGGGGAACAAGTGAATGAAAACCCTAGGTGAGTTGAATTGAGAGGAATAATGGTTGAGAACTGAAGAGAATGGAGTGAAGAAGAGAACTTACCTGGATTTTCAGGGATTGAAGAAAGTCAAGGGTAGATCAAAATTGTAGCTTCGAAGAATCAAAATGGAATATAAATGGCGAAGACGGAGAACGAAAATAACGCGGGACT